TACATGAGTTTGTCGTTGCTTTGAAATTTTTCATGCAACAAAAACGGACTATCATTATTGTTTCGTCCGTGTATTGGTTGATATATTGAAAAGTAATTGTCATCTTTGATAATGGCTTATGTAAGCCAAAAGCTTAGATTGGATTTAAACATGTATCAATATGGTGATTTCCTTTCGTCTTTCAGTGATAATGTTATTAAGCTTATCAGACAATATGAAAGGAACTTCCTTAAAATAAATAGACAAAACTTGTCTATATTATTTAATGAAACATGCATGACATATATATATATATATATATATATATATATATATAAATTATTTTTTAAAAATATTATTCCATTGTAACAAAAAAAAGAATAATTATAATTTAGGCTCTACTTATATACTGTGCACTGTTTTTTAAAAATAAAAACAAAAATACTAAAGAACTTCGGATTATTAACCTAACGTTCTTTCCTATTTTTCTATATATTTGCACACACACACACACACACACACACATATATATAGTCTACTTGGAGATAGATAAGCACTATTTATTTATATTTGAATTTATAGGTAGGTAAATACCAGGTGTGATGGATAAATTGACTTTTAAATTACACAAAAATGAAAATAATACTGACACCTCATTTTAATAGATATACTTACCAAAATTACACAAAAATATCTTGAAATATTAAAGAGTAAATTTATTCAATAAAATCACCATTGGTTTTAACTATGGCCTCCAGATGACTTTGGAATCTCCTGTAACTCTCCTACACAGCCTCCCCGCTTTCCGGATGTAACTGGACGGGCGGCCTCCCCGCTTTCCGGATGTAACTGGACGGGCGGCCTCCCCGCTTTCCGGATGTAACTGGACGAGCGGCCTCCCCGTTTTCCGGATGTAACTGGACGGACAGCTCCCTTTGTTAAATTTTACTCAGTTTTATTCAAGTAGAATATATCTGCTGAATTGTGTTAAAGAAAACTGAAAGACTGCAGCACACAAACTTTTGGAAAGGTAGGATCAACAAAAGTTATGATATGGAGAGTGTTACAAAAGCCCCAGAAAATATACAGGATATTTTTGGATGGTTGAAACCTAAAATAACTTTCTTAAACCCCAAATAAAATGTGGTATTTTGTATATAAGCCTAAATTATAATCTACAAAATGTCTATTCCTCTAATGCTAACTCAAAGTATTGTCTTAAATTAAGCGTTTTCTGACAACATCTGGTTGATGTAACTTTTGGATAAGAATGGAAATTTCTCCTTGTAAACATGATGGCTCTGATAATGTCATGTAGCTAGAGATTCTTTTCTTTTGCCTTCTATAGTTGAGCTTAAAAAGATGTCCTTTTTTTTTTTTCTTCTTTTTTTTTTGGTCCCTTTTTGATAATCTAAAAGACAAGCTTGTGAAAGAAGTTACATGTGTTCTGTTGCTTTGTACAATTATGAATGTTGTTTGATGAGAGTTTTCAAAAGACACTGTATGTTTCACTGCAGATTGGGTTTTAGTTATTTGACATGTTGTTTTAGTATTCTTGTTTTTATTTACCATGTATTAATATGTAGTTGAGCAATAAGCCAAGACCGATATGTGCATACCTTGTGGATAAAGTTTGTTTAACTTTTACTCATTTTTTTTTTTTTTTTTTTTTTTTTTTTTTTTACATACAGGAAGAAAGTCAGATTTTGCAAGAATTCTTTCTCAGCTAATTTCCTTCTTACTTTCGGTGCCAACCATAGATCATTATTCTTTTTCTCAATTCTTTACTGTTTTTTTTATTTTCCTCCTCTTTGCCTTTTTTTTTTTTTTTGCTTCCTTCATCTTTGCCTTTTTTTTTCACTTCTCTCCTCATTGCCTTTTTTTTTTACTTTCCTCTTCTTTTCTCTTTGCCTTTTATTTTTTGCTCCCCCCCTTTGCTTTTTTACCTTCCCCTTTTTTGACTTGTTAGCAATAAATGAGCCCTTTATTTTTCAACAAAGACTTAAAAGAAAGATGATCTTCTTAAAATAGATGGGAATATGCAACACTCAGTTAAAGAAATATCTAGCCTTTAATACTGTAGATAACCAGTTATTTCCTGAATAGTCCCAGTTTAATCAAGGAAGCCTCTTTTCTTTGTCAGTGTGTCTTTTATGCCATCAAAATACAATGCGACCATTCCTCACTACTACACAGCTTGATCTCTCACTCGCTCGTCATCACCATGCAAATTGTGTTTATTTTAGATGTGTGGAGATTTTCGGCTGAAGTTGGCTGAAACATCTGTTGAGCCAAACAAATATTAAAAAAAAAAACTGAACTATTTGTGATAACAAGAACAGTGCATGTATTCAGCTATAGTTTCAATTTTCGGCTTTAACCCTTCACATTTTGGCAGTGCTGGGGTGTCCCTAAGTACACCCAGTTGGTCAGTTCTCATGGTTAGCCTTCATTGGTTTGTGGGATCAGTAACTGATTTAGTCATAATCATCAATCCCTTGATTAATCATAATCATCATCAGCATCATCATCATCATCAATCCCTTGATTAGTCATCATCAATCCCTTGATTAGTCATCATCATCATCAATCCCTTTATTAGTCATCATCATTATCAATCCCTTGATTAATCATTATCATCAATCCTTTGATTAGTCATCATCATCAATCCTTTGATTAATCATCATCATCATCATCATCAATCCCTTGATTAGTCATAATCATCATCATCATCATCATCAATCCCTTGATTAGTCATAATTATCATCATCATCATCAATCCCTTGATTAGTCATAATCATCATCATCATCATCATCAATCCCTTGATTAGTCATAATCATCATCATCATCAATCCTTTGATTAGTCATAATCATCATCATCATCAATCCCTTGATTAGTCATAATCATCGTCATCATCATCAATCCCTTGATTAGTCATAATCATCGTCATCATCATCAATCCCTTGATTAGTCATAATCATCATCATCATCATCATCAATCCCTTGATTAGTCATAATCATCATCATCATAATCAATCCCTTGATTAGTCATAATCATCATCATCATAATCAATCCCTTGATTAGTCATAATCATCATCATCATCATCAATCCCTTGATGAGTCATAATCATCATCATCATAATCAATCTCTTGATTAGTCATAATCATCATAATCAATCTCTTGATTAGTCATAATCATCATCATCATCAATCCCTTGATTAGTCATAATCATCATCATCATAATCAATCCCTTGATTAGTCATAATCATCATCATCATAATCAATCCCTTGATTAGTCATAATCATCATCATCATAATCAATCCCTTGATTAGTCATAATCATCATCATCATAATCAATCTCTTGATTAGTCATAATCATCATCATCATAATCAATCCCTTGATTAGTCATAATCATCATCAATCCCTTGATTAGTCATAATCATCATCAATCCCTTGATTAGTCATAATCATCATCATCATCATCATCATCAATCCCTTGATTAGTCATAATCATCATCATCATCAATCCCTTGACTGCTTCGAGTGTCGGTGTAACTTAAGATCAGAAGTAACAGACAACCTCCTCCAGGATGGTCTGTTGCTGGACGATCTCAGGAATGCCAACATTGTCTTTTCTGTCCACTCTTTGATGTTGTCTGAACAGCATTTGCTTTTCTATCTCCATTTGCATCTGCCTTCAACAGTGCCATGTAAAGACTGATATGTAGTGTGACATGGCCAAACCATAACATCTTCTGATGGTTAATAGTGATGAGGAGAGATTCCTCTCAGCCCACAAAACTCCATACATAGTCATTAATTTTATGTTCCAAGTGAAAGATACAGAGGAGCTTTCTTAAGCATTTATTTTTGAATGACTGGATCCTTTTTTTTCTGGATCAACTAGGGGTGTCCAAGTCTCACATCTGTTTAGTAGGATGAATACAACCAACAATTTGTAGAGCTTGAACTTGATTTAGTACAGTTAGACAACTCTTGTGTCAAGCATATGATCAATGTTAGTCTAAAATCTTCTTTTCCACAATTCAGAATTCTTAAGTTGGAAAACCTTTTCTTCTTGGGTTCATTCAATAAATTCATTTCGTGAAAGCAGTTGAGGAAGAAGGATTAGTGGCTTCTTTCATGGCCACAACTCCAAATTACTACTTTTGGTAGCAACAACTTTTGAAGACCAATGATTAAAAATGGCTTTGAATGAAAGAAGCCTGTGAATCTTGGCAAAGACCATCCATCTTTGAACATTGTGAGCTGGAGCTAAAGAATAATAAACAAAGAACTCTACCAAATAACAGAAACTGCTTCATTTAATTGATTCATTCATTTTCTACAGCCTATCAACCCATTGCAGGTTATTTAAAGCCAGAAGACATTTTTAGATTGTAAGAATTTTTTTTTTCAAACCTGCTGATTTGTTATTCTTGCCACTTTAACTACTGAGAAGATAGTCAGGGGTAACCTAAACATCCCTGGCACAAGAGGAATTGGCAAACCATTTCACTATTCTGCCTTGGATATCACTATAAACTACAATTGTTCGATGTACGGGGGTTGTTGATTACGGCAATGCAAAACAAACTGGCAAGCCATTGACACTATTCTGTCTTGAATGTCACTATGAGCCACAATTGTGAGATGGAGGGGAGTGGTGACTACAACAGTGCAAAATGTGCTAACTAAATAATGAATTATTTATCTTAAAAATGAAGGATATTGATTTGTTTTTTACAGCTTATCAACCCTTTGTAATTTATTCAAAGCCAGGAAATATTTTATTATATCTTATGTTATAAGAATTTTTCCTCTTTTTAGATAATTATGGTTTAGTGATACAAGTTTTACTAATTAACCTATAGCTGGGGGAGAAGAGGTGGATTAATACCATTCCCAAGGGTATTTGCATGTAAATGAATATAACGAGTCCAACTGGAATTGGAACTTGACTCTCTGATTAACAATTCCAAACCATTATTCATTAAACCATCAGCACATTCAAGCTTGCAGTACCTGGTATTCCCAAGTGATCACCCATCTAGGTACTGACCAGGCTTGCTGTTGCTTAAGTTTGGTGATTGTAGGGGAACCAATGTTTACAGCATCATATGGCCATAAGCATACTTCACTTGCAGACTTTCAACAGTACCAAAAGGTAAAATGGACAGCACATGTAACTTGAAGAGAAAATAATGACATAATTAAGATGTTGACATTCCACACTACTCCAAACAAAAGGTTAGGAAGGAAACTGCCATCAATAACTGGAAGAACATTAACAGATACTAGACTTGAGAAACCTGTTTTCCTGAAAAATTGTTTTAAGGAAAAGGTTTTATAAATATCAACCAATTGACTGCTTGGTCAATAAATGGTTAAGGAAACAGCTAATATTATCAGAACCATTACCTGCAGCTTGTATCTAGATTGAGTCTTGGGTCAACTAATTAATAATTTATAAATCCTAATCACTCACTTTGGAAACTATTCTAATTTTGGATTGGTTAGTTTTCTTTCCACTTGTGCCAATTTCATTGGTCCATGTCCCTCTCACTACCATCACTGGGGTGAGATCCCACATTTTGCATCACCAGATAATCAACTTTTCGCCCTTGTATGGAGTATTGCTATTGAGTCAATTGCTTCATCCACCGCAAGGAAAGTTGGCTCCCTGTGCCACGCCAGGAAATTTTTTCTCCCAGAATCAGTCCTCCAGATCTACAAATCAACAATTAAATCTTGCATTGAGTATTGCTGCCATATATGGTCTGGAGCCCCTTCTGTTTGCCTCGGGGTTCTTGATAGGCTCCAGAGGCAGATATGCAATATAATTGGCCTTGATCTGGCATCTCGTCCACAGACACTTTCTCACAGACGCACTGTCACCTCTCTCTCTGTCTGTTTTACAAATACTTTCATGGCAATTGCTCCAAGGAGCTGCATTTGCTGGTTCCCAGACTTCATGAGTTCAAGCGCCCGACGAGGCTGGCATCCCGCTTTCACCCTTTCACTGTCGAAACTCCTAAATGTAGCTGTCTCTTCTACTCCAATAGCTTCATGTCTCGCACCTCTCGCCTGTGGAATTCCCTTCCCTATTCTATAATCTCCAGCTATTCAAATGTAATGTCAATCAACATCTCCAGTTGCTTTGATCTATCCACTACCCTTCTCCTCATCCTTTCTTCTATCACTCCTATCTGATCTTGCTCCAAATTTTCTGTAACCCCTTGCGTCCTAGTGGCTTCCCACCTTGCTTGGGGTGAAACGCTTAAAAAAAAAAATTAAAGTTTCCGGTGAAAAATTATAGTTTTCTAGTGTCAGCATTATATTAAACAAAATACATGTAATATTAGGTTGAGTTGTAAGTAATTTCTGTTTTGGGGAACTAACTGAGTGTATCATCTTAACTACTAATCATTGGTGGTAGTTAAGTATTATAAATTTGGATTACACTAACATACCTTAGTTTTTGTATGGCAGTGGCAGCATACACAGTGGATTAAGGAAAAATGTTGTACACCTTCATGATAACATAGGAAGAAAATAGGGGAACTCTGTTAGTCTGTTCTACCTAACATTCACTTGACCCTGTGCCAACCAATTATTACCTTTTTTTTTTTTTTTGATCACTGCAAAATGCTTTGATGAAGAAAACTTTCTCCTATGAAAGCCGGATTCAAGAGGTTTTTTTTTTTTTTGCTCTCCTCCATGCCAATACAAGACCACATACAGCAAGAATTGCCCCTCAAAATCTTGAAACTCAAATAGTTCATGTTTTTTTTTTGTTTTTGTTAATCAATTCACCTCAAGCAAGGTAATAAAACTACCAAAACAAAAGTTGTTACTGAATATACTAGATTGGCAGCTAGGTTTCATCATTTTACAGTTAAAATGGCTAGATCAATGGTTCCCGACCGATTTTGAGCTATGTCCAACTTTGGTATTTCTAAAATTCTGGTGCATCCAAGTAATATTGAATTTTTACATATTCAAAATTTTACACTATGTGAATGAAGCTAACTGAATGCTCACACACACACTGATTGGCCAACAAAACATGGGCTCTTCCAGTGACATGCATCATGCCCTCTATTTTGTTGACAGAAACACACGTGTATGGGGAGACAGGAAATACCCTGTATACCAAATACACATGTATGTAAATACACACAAAATATTTTTATGTATGCATACTGTATATGCATTGTATGTATTAACACTCTCACTCAGACTCACTAAAAAACAATTTACTGTTAATCACTCATTCTCGAATTGCCCCCTTATTCTGTTGGTATAGTAAGATGAAGGATGCACAACCTATGCATGCCCCACCAGTGGGGAATGCACCCCACATTGGGAATCATTGGGTTAGATGTAACTGTATGTCCTATTTTAATGGTTTCTTCTCTCACACTTCTCACTTGTGGAACTCTCTTCCGGCATTCATACTTGCCAGTTAATTTTGATCTTCAAAAATTTAAATGAAATCTCAATTGTTATCTTCTGTCTTCTTAATTCTTGTTCTTTTATTGTTCTCTCTCTCTCTCCTAAGAAATCGGTCTCTAATCTAATTTTGCTTTAATAAGCAAAACAAGATAATTAGATTTCTTGTAATTTTTCAGTTAAAAGGCATGAGTGAATCATTAACAAACATTTATGTTATATTTTCTGCTTGTCATCAAATAAAATGCTCAACTACCTCCTGCAAATCTCCATTCATGGCTCTCCTGCAACATGAATTTAAGTGCAGTACTAGATTCGCAGTTAGGTCTCATTATTTTACAGTTGAAATGGCTAGATGTAAATATAAGTTCTATGCTAACCATTTCTTCTTTTGCACTTCTCACTTGTGGAAATCTGTTTCAATTTCTTGTTTCCCCTTCAACTTTGATCTTGAAAAGTTTAAATGCAATGTCAATCATTATCTTCAGTTTACTGAATTTGTTTTTTATTCTTCTCTCTACTTAATAGTGCTTTTTTTTTTATTCATATTCTCTAACACTCAGTAACCCATTGCATCTTAGTGGCTTTATTGCCTTGTTTGGATAAAATTATTAGAATATATATTATTATAATATGCAACTGAGAAAATACATGAGAATTAAAAGAATTGTACGTGTTTTTCAGTTTTGTCAGAACTTCTTTCAAAAAGCACTAAAAAGATAATTGGAGCTATAATATTCAATAAATGAAGAGTTTCACGCAGAGATGCTCAGGCGTTCAATAAATCTTGTAAATAAATCAAGCATTTGGTCCTGATGAGCATTTCAACAAGAATGTTTTATAGTCAACAAAATAAGCTAATGGTGAGTGAAATATAACAGAATTGATTTTAAGGAAAAAGAAATAAATTATGTAATGTTAATAAAAATTCATTAAGTATGCTACGTACGCAAAACAAATAATTTTTTAATTGCTATTGCATGATGATACTTTCTCAACTTTTTCTGCATTTCATTTTGCTTTTGTTCTTGAAATTTTTTAAACAAAAGACACTTTTTAACTCTGTGTGCGTTATTGCAATCCTCAGAGCTGAATGCTGGCTTTCTTTCCATAAAACTGACAACCTTTCAATAGCGGTTCAGGTTTCATCACAATCATGCATCTCATCGCTGTCTTGTTGCAGATGTGGTCTCATCGTCTTTCTTTTCTCTTATTCCCATCATTCTTTGCACCAATACAAGCCATTAGGGTGAAATAAGTATAAGCAATTATCCAAAGTAAATTTTCTGAAAAACACAAATTTCAAATCAGTTACATATCACCCATAAATAGTTCAAATATACACATCAAAATCATGTATGGATTTCAGGCACTCCAAATATGAGGGATTTTACTGTATATGATTTTTTTTTTTTTTTTTTTAATGTTGCACCATTTAAAAAAATGTATCTTGGTTTCAAGTAAAGATTGTCTTTTCTAATCAGTGTCTGCTCCTTTTATCAATTTCATAGCAAAATCTTGTACGTAGACGCACTCTGATTTCAAATGTGTACACACACTTGTTCATAATCTTGATTTTATCTTAATTCATTTCCTGTTGACAAAGGAAGCAACAAATTTTACAGCTGACATCTTCCTTTTTATTTGCCTCATCTTTACTTCTTTTCAGCCATAACTCTCAACACATCATTTATATTGGGTGTGACATTATATATATATCTGTTAGATATATGTATATATGCTCTCATCAAAACATGACACTGTTTGGGAAGTTGTAATATGAAAAATAAAAAACCTGTAGATATATATATATATATATATATATATATATATATATATATATATATTTTTTTGAAAAGATTATTAACTTTTATCCTGACTTCAAAGTTTCTTGGTAAAATTTCCAGTCTTCAGGGTGTTCTGGTTTTTAATGATATTCCCCCCCAACAAAAAAAAAAAAAAATTGGAAATATTGTTTAAAACCAGAACCCCTGAAGACTGGAAATTTTACCAAGAAACTTCAAAGTTGGGATAAAATTGACATTAAAAGTTAAATAATTTTTTCAAATAATATTATTAACACTCTATTTTTAATATTATTTTAATATTCTGAATATTAGGCACTATATATATATATAAAAATATCTGTTGGTTCTTAAATCTTGTGTGTGTGTGTATATATATATATATATATATATATAAAAATAAAAATGAAAATGACAAAAAACTGGTAATTGTCATTTTTATTCATAATATTGTCTTCTCTACCGATTAAATCAAGAAATTTTCATATATATATATATATATATATATAGAGAGAGAGAGAGATAGTTGAAAATCTGAATTAAATCTGAATATGACTAAATCAAGAACAGATTGGGAAAGGAGAATCATTAATTTATCAAGTTTTTCTTGTTCTTTCATACTTTTTGGAAGAGCTGAATACTAGTGCACAGTGTGCCACAAGTTCCACAAACAGCCCACGTCAGGCTTTTAATTCAGAGTTGGCCTTCTGGACTGGTTACCACCCAAGACTATAGAAACCAGTCTGCCTATATTTAGGGAGAGAAGAGATGGATTTTATACTTTTCCCACTTGTGAATGTAATGATTTCTCAATCTCAGCCACTATCCATTACTCCACTGTGGTTATATATATATATATATATATATATATATATATATATATATATATAATGCTCTTAGCAACTGGAAGAATTTAGAGCTTACTATACCAACAGAATAAGGGAACGCTATTATTATTAGTTACTTTGTTTAATAAATTCATTTTGTTTCACCTTGAAAAAGTCCGCATTGGACGAAACGCGTTGGCATCTATTACAGTTTTCCTATTGTCTTTTACATTTATAAATATTGTCTTTTTCTACAGGTTAATTCTGAGAAATATATAATGTCATTCGTAGACAGTACTGTTTCGGTGTATCACAGCTCTTCAGTGTGACTAGACGTTCAAAAGCCTCAAGCCAGGATCAAAACCCAAAAAATAAAAAAAGGTTAATGGTCAAAGTAGAATTGGACTAGGAAACCTGAGGATACCATAAGGTTGAAACCAAAGTAGCAGACTCAACTGATCTCCTGACTTTTAAAGTTAAAAGCTCTACATGTTATTTTTACTTTTATTTTATTTTTTTCATATGTGTATTGAGCACTTTTTAATACTACTTTTTCCTAGTCTGATTCAAATTTGGCCATTAACCTTTTATGTATTTTATAAAGGGTGTTTCATTAAGATGGATCAAAGTCAGCAGTAAATAAATCAGTGTTATTGGCAAAAATATATTTATTTCTCAGTTGGATCATGTTAAGTCATGGCAATTATGTGTGAAAAATAATATTGCCCAAATGTCCACCAAATCTGAAAAAAAAAAAAAAAAAATAATCATTAGATGCTTAAACTTAAATCACATTTAAAATCAGTCCAAGTTACTGGAACACCCTTATATATATATATATATATATATATATATAAATATATAAAATATATTTTTGGGGGATTTGAAGAATCATTAATAGTAATTCACGAAGTCTAGAAGAAGAATCTTCAATGGAGAATGAATATTCAAATCCCTCAAAATTTCTATCATTTATATATCCTTACTTTCTTGGTGAAAGACGATGTTGAACTTGGGGGGCCCTATCCGTTGGGTTACGTATACTTGGATGAGTATCCCTACTGGAAGTTAGTGGGTAGCTATGCTATATCAAGTCTAGTTAGTTTCTTGTTCGTCATTGTAGCCTGTTGGTCCAGTGGTATGACACTTGCATTGTATTGTAATGGTCCAGGTTCAATTCTTGGTAGTGGATGCATACTGCTGAGGAGTCCCAAATATGACGAAATGGCTGTCCAGTGCTTTCAGCATTCTGTTGAGGATTCTTATAGACTCAATGAATTACTATAAATGATATATATATATTCCATTGAAGATGACTGACAAGGTATTGTGATTTAAACATTTAATTAAATTAAAGCCCTTACAACTAATCTCTGAGCTATTGTCAAGGATGTATTTTTGTTTAACTGGATATGTTGATTTTTGTGCACATACGCACACATACAGGCGTACATACATGTGTACAAAGAAGAAAAATCAAGTGAAAAAATTACACAAAAGTTAGTCTATGAAACTCAGGAGTAGAGGTGCTGATTATAACATCATTCAGCTAAGTGACAAATTTTATATTTGTATTAATCCTGTATATATATATATATATATATATATATATATATATATATATAAAAACAAAATTAATCACATACAAGCAGTCCCAGAGAATGCTATTCTAGTGACTATGGACTTGTGACTATATATATATATATATATGTATGTATAATGTTGTAATAGTTATGTTTTTTTTTTAATTTCCAAACATGGTCAGCATGTTGCGTCCATGTTCATAATTGATATTATTGAGAGTTGGCTTCTTTTTTCTTGTTAGTGGTTCCTTTATTTTTAACCATTTTTTGCATGTGGATGAGGCTATTATAGTTGTATTTTCCACAATTATGTTGCAGACTTAGTTTAGTGTCTATTTAAATGGCGCTGTGATCTGATGATAAGAGCAGCAAAAGATTGATATTTATGAAGAACCATGACCATTCACATCATGAAAGGACATGGCACATCAAAGGAGGTGGAAGTTAATTTCTCTTCTTTCTTTTAAAGTTTAAGAGAACGTTTAAAATGCATAAAATAGACTTCCCTCTGATGTTAAATAACATGCAACTTATTAACAAGGCATAGCTTGGTTTTAGTCATTTTTAGTACAACGCCACAAGTACAGGACACAGTGTGGATTGAAGTCACAACTACTAGAAATTGAATGTCTCGTAATTATTAGTAAACTTGTCTTACAATTGTGCACTAGTTCATTACTAGAATGAACGTAATGAGTTCAATTGTGAGTGGCTTCTCCACTTTTATGCCATTGTATGATCAAAGATGAATTTTAGTACATAAAATTACTGAATACTGTTCATAGTGACCTGCTAAGTCCGTTTTTCATCTTTCTCATAATCTGAGGTGAAAGTGGTGTCTTTTTTTAAAAAGCTGCCATTTTTATTTTTCATCCACTTGAGTTTTTTTTTTTTATTTTTTTATTTTTTTAATGCATCTTTGGCTGGGTAGTTTCAAAATAATATTAAGCTCAAGTCTCAGTGTCCATTCCCCCAGGCAGTATCTTCGGGAGGTGGTTGGGGTCATTACCCGGCGCCTGAGGTGTACCCAAAACGTGGAAGTACCGGGGTGGGGGGCTGAGCAATTTTCCATGGTATTGCAGTTCAAAGTTCAAACTCACTTTGAACTGACCTTGTCTTACGTTCGGTTACAACGTGGTCTGGGCGTACTGAAAACTCCACATATCCTCTCGGCGTCAGTTTTTTAAAAGTAACGTCTTCTTTCACTGTGACCATTTTTTTGCTTAAAGTTCGAAAATTTTCTAACATATTTCAATGAAATTTTCACTTTCAAAAATTACAGTTTAGTAAATAAAATATTTAGCGGTGGGGGATATCGGTGTACTGACGCTAAAAACGGCTTCGTTTTTAAGAGGGTTAATCCGTAATCGCAAGCATTTTTTAGAAATATGCTCAGGAGATTTTTTTGATTATTTTATTCTTTATGATAAAGAATAAAAATTAATAAGTTTAAACTATTTGACACCTAACAAAGAATGAGCGTACCTGACCTTAACTCATTTTAGTTTAAAAACATTCCTGGTTTGGTTTTGTGGTGAAGACAACAACAAAAGCAAAAGTAAAACCCTAAGCAAATGAAAGCCCCATTTCTTTAAAAGACCTTTCCCCTGCTTCTCTATTTCTGTACCGAAAGATGTCGTCTTTCTTCTCTCTACCGATTATTGATTTAAAGTAAACCTTGTAAAAATCTAATCGACCCTTCCCTGTTTTTGGTTCTCTCCTCGTTCACATAGACCTTTCCTTTTTTCTTTTTTCTTCCCCCTCTTCTTTCTGTGTTTGGTTAGAAGTGGATATGAGATCATTCCGTGTTTGTCCCTTAAATGTGTTCGTGTGTGTAACTCTGTCCCAGATGAATGTGTAACACAATTTTTCCCACTACCCCCACCACCTATTTTTAAAACACTACTTGTTCTTTTAAAATATCAGTGTTTAAATTTGGTTTCGTTTTTACTTTTTTGTCTGACTTGCTTCTGTATGATATTTATTTACCTTTGTCTCTTTCTCTCTCTCTAGTCTAATTAAACAGAGGAGAGAGAGAGAAAGAGAAAGAAAGAGAGAGAGATGGGGAAAAAAGGGAGATATTTTTAGCTCCGTGTTTGCATGCAAACAACACGTTTTTCCCCGAAGTGCAGGGGTCTGTAAGGCATGGGGTTTGATAATATGTGTATTTTTGTGCGCGTGTGTGAAAGATCCCTTCTCTCCAGTGACCGGGGGAGCTTCCCAGTTCCTAATTTGATACTGGGTCAAATTTATATGTGAATAGTTTTTATAGGGTTTAGCTCCCACCCTTAGAAAGGGAGAAGAAAAATCTCAAACTAAAATTGTAAGCCACCAACATAGTGATTCAGACGAACAACGAAAGAATATTTCGTTCCTGGAAAAAAAAAAGGTGTACCAAAAATCCTTTCCCAACTCCCAAGATCGGACCAGAGAGAAAGATAAAAGGGAAAGCATTTAGTCTCTAAGAGGACCTTATTTTCTTTTTCTCTTTTAGTTTTCTTCTACTTTCTGCCTTGTTGTGTGTCCTAAGATTTTATTTTAGCATCTCTACGAAGGAAGCTAAGAGTTCAAGTATTTTTTTTGCCTTAACTAGCAATAAACCCGGGAAACTCATTATCCACGTCTACGTTAATTAAATCCTAATTTTAAGCAGAAAGACAAGACGAAGAGAAAAGCAAATTGTCCAGTTTGGTTTACTAAATGTTTCTGTTTTATTTTATTTTTTGTGGGGACATTTTGTAAACAAACCCTATCTTTGGTAAGTCATTTTTCTTTTTTTCTTCCTATTTTTCTTGTATATTTATTTATATTTTTTTGAATCGAGTTGGGAGGTCCATTATTAAAGAAGGAATGTAGATTTCAAATTATCTGGGAAATTTTCAGTTTTATCTTAGAAGGAATCTTTCCTTATAAAAGAAAATCACGGTAAATGATTTTTATAAATAAACTCACACTTATTTGGTTTAAAATTTTTATTTAAATCGAATAAATTGAAATTTGTATGGATTGAGCAAAAAAAAGAAAGAAAAAAAAATCTCCCGCTCAAAATGGCATTTAATTTTCCTTTTTAATTTTAAATAATTTTTTTTTTTTTTAATATTTCTATAGTTTTGTATTCATCCTGAAAAAAATATCTTTTTTTTTTCTTTTTTCTATTTTCTATGATTTATTTCTTCTTAGGATGTCCGACGAATCTTATATTGTGATTTATAAATTTAAAAATTAAATTAAAAAAAAAAAAAGTCCCATTATCTCTTTTTTCTTTTTAAACTTTTCCTAATTCAAATTTAATTTGAATTTATGACTTTGCTTTTTTTTCTTCATTTTATTATTTTCCCTTTATCTAAAAAAGAAAATAAGAATAAATGACTAAGAAAAAGAGTTAGAAAGCCCTTTAAAGTTCAATTTGTTCCTAGTTCTTCATTTTCTAATGTTTGTTGCTCTTTTTTTGGATAATTCCATTCACTGCAACATTGCCAAAAATAAACAAAGAAAGATTCCTTTTTGAGTTTTTCGTTCATAAAACGTGAGCATTCCTTCCTTTCTTTGGTTGTCTTATTAATTCAGAAGTTCCTAAAAAATAGGGTTTCTTATGGGTGTAAAAAACACAAAACAAAAAAACAAAAAAAAAAAAACATAATAAAATATAAATGAATATAAATCTCATATTTAACAACCCAGAAAGTTTTTAAAGGAATCGATTCTCTCTCTTTATCATGAAAAATGCAGCGTATTTTTATGTTGCCCATTCATTCATTCATTCATAATTGAGACTAGTTAAGAAGAAGAGTTTCGTTTCAATTACTTTTAGAAAAATAAAATTCCTGGTTTAACGTTGCTCTTTTCAAATCTATTTTGAATTAATTCAAATTGCACAATTTTACGAAGTTCATCAACAAACTCATCTCATATTTGGCTTAAAAATAAGTAAATAATTTTTTAAATTCAAACCGTCTACCAATAAATAAATAAATGAAATAAAAATGAAAGTAACCAGATTAAAATGTAAATCTGCCGCCAATTTTTCAAATAAATATGAATAAAAATATATAATTAATTCCCATTTTTAAGAAAACCTTTTATTGTCTCCCAAATTATCGACATTTTTAAACGTTTTTTTTTCCATTCTGACAGAACAATGCCAACATTTTATTTAAAAAAATGTCCTTTAAAAAAAAATAAATCTATTCGCTATTTTGAATTTAAATTAAAATTAGTTAAGTCCTTTTTTTAAAGTTTCTTCACTTTCGTTTTCCAAAATATACACAAAAAGATCTTAAAACATTTACCCAAATTTTCAAAAATCCCTCCACCAAATTATTGCTTCACAATTCATTTAAAAAAAATACTGTATCAAGATTAAAATTTATTTTAATTTATTAGAGAAAGGTTAACTTAAATGCAAGGTATTTAAATAAATTAATTATGTCCAATTTATAATCTATTAGCAAATATTCTAAAAGATTAGAATTCAATAAAAATATTTATTCCTTTTTTTTTTTTTTTAGTTTTTTTGTCCCCTTTGCATACACAGTGTTACTGTTAAAAAATGAACATTAAAAAACGTAAACTAAACTAAACATATTTTTATTGTGAAAAAAAAAACAGCATAAAATTAAAACAAATAAAAAAGTAAATCACGAAATTTATTTTTACAAAAATCCTAACGTTTGCCTGAGCTCGAACCTTAACCTCCATTCCAACCACCGAGTGTCAAATGTACTCCGAGTACATTTTTCCTTGGACTCTAAAAGTGCATTCACATCATGCTGATGAATTAAAATTAAATAATCATTCATTTGGATATGATTTAAAAACATTTTTCTCCTTTTTGTAATTAAAATCATTAGGAAAATCGAACTATTTTTTTTTTTAAAGAAAATAAAACTTTCAAGGCAAAGAAAAAATTATTAAATGTTGCTTCGACTTTCTTTCAGAAAGAATGTCTGAATGAAATAATTTGTGTTTTATTCACTTCTAGTATTTTTTTAACTCTGGAAAACCCCTCCATTCTTTCTTCACAATAAGAAAAATGTGTTCAAGAATTTTATTTATTTATTTTTTTTCTTTTATATTAGAAAGAAAATAGCAGGAGGCTAAAATTAGGTAGAAGGGAGCATTGTTGTTATTTGTCTAAAGGGTATAGGGGTGAAGCGAAGCCCAATTATGTGGGGTCAGGATGAAGGAGAACCAGCCTGGGACACGATGAAGAATTCCTCCTCCTTTTCCCACCTTGATGAGCCGATGATGGCATTTCACTTGCGTTTTTCTCTCTTAATTCTTCAGGTTTCCACATACCACTTTCTTTACCTTGTCCCCTTTTCTCTAACCTGAAGTGAGTTCTTTAACGCTCGGGGAAAGGCGACATTTTTATTTGGTTCTGCCTAGACGCAGCATAAAAGACCACTAATAATAAACTTAAAACTGTATAACTTCAGTTAACACAAGCAAGAGATGTCTTCTCTCTTATTATTTTGATCTTTTTAAAAATGGATTCTTTTTGTATTCAAGTTAAAAAAAAATAAAATACCATACAGACTGTATTTGTTTGTATATTAGAAACATATTTTATTTAGAAACCAAAAAAAATTATGAGTGAAACTGAGTAGGAATAGACAAGTGAAATTTAATTTTGTTACATTAAGAAAAATAATCTTCACCTAATACAAGGTTGAAGAGCCACTCAAGGTAGAGAGTTACTGTGGCAAAACAGAAAGTCACTTACCGAGAAAAAGGGCACATATGTTCTGTATGATATGCTGAAGACAAAATAACCAAAATAGAAACAAGTCAGTGGCAGCTGTTGCCATAAATGCATCTTGAATATGCTAATATTGTGTGTCCTCTCCCATCTGTCGACCAATGAAATAATTGTTCTGTTGATAAAAGCAGTTGGTGTTCTCGAATTGAGAGAAGTCGTTTTGATTTTTTTCTGCCTTGTCTGTTGGCTTGCATGATGATTTCTGACTATTTAAATGTACTAGGATTTGTGATATTAGACCTGCAATTTGTGATTTCAACATTGCTTTCTGACCCTGGAACTTCAAATTTGGACTTGTGATTTGTTTAGTTCATTGTGGAATTGCGCTGCCATATTAGTTATTTAAACAGATTGTTTGCAAGTAAAGAAACAAAAAGTTTAAAACTTTTTTGCTACTGTTATTGAATAAGTTGTGTGATATAAACTAAAAGAGGAAGAAGTAGGAAGTGAAGATGATGAGGATATGGATGATATATAACAACTGACCCTAAACTTGAAAAGCCTAAGATTATAGTGTTTGGGGAAGTATCCACACTGGGTGTCTATACTGTTTAAAAAATAAATAGAACATCTACTTAGATATAAGTGACCACTAAAAATAATGTCAAACTAATAAATAAAAATCTGTTACTTCTTTAGAAACTGCTTTGTTTATGTTTGGTTCCAAAACTAAACTGAGTAGATATAATCATTTTGAGAATTTGTGATGAGAAGGATTTTGCTTAAATGCACTATTCAACTTCACTTGATCCATAAAAGTTCTTTGTGACCAAGTAGGTCTAAAGCACATCAGATCTCCCAATTGTAACTTCAGTCGAGTGGTAGTGGTGGTAGTGCAGGTTCAAGTCCTGCCAAAGAACTCATATTTTTCTTTAATGAGATTTTTTGAATATTCAGGCTGGTAGGCAAAAATAAATAAATACACTGTTTAATAAATAAATGGAGAATCTACTCAAGTATGAGTATCCACTAAAAATAACATTTAAAATATATATATATATATATATATATATATACACGTTTCATTAAATAATATATATTATATACACG